CATTATCTTCAGCATATCAGTCTGAAAAATATTTAACTGGCCTATGTCTGCCATTACCACTGTGATGTTATATCTGATGACAGTGAGGAGTCATTGCTTTAAAAATACAGTTTCACTGCTAGGTGCTACATTTTGAGTTTTCATTAAAAGGCTTAGCTGCCAGAAATCTCATTTCTCTCCAGCTCTGGGCCTGTCATTGGGATGGCTGATTTAAAAGGGACAGCATGTCGTTGAGTTGTTTTTCAGTTATGTCTGACTCTTCGTGACCCCATTTGGGATTTTGTTGGCAGAGACACTGGAGTGGTTTGCCATTTTCTTCTCTAGCTCATTTGACAGATGAGGAAACTGAGGCAAATGGGGTTAAGTGACTTGCCCAGGGTCACACAGTAAGTGTCTGAGGCCAGATTTGAATTCAGGATGAGTCTTTTTGACTCCAGGCCCAGTGCTGTATGTACTATTATCACCTAGCTGCCCAGAGGGGAGGACAGGAGTCAGGAAAAGTCTAAAATGACTTCTGTGGGATCTGCTCCTTGCCTGAAGCAGCTCTGGCTTCTTCTAACCAATAGTCAAGGTGTTGTAGAAAGAATGCTGGACTTGGGTGTTGGGAGAGACCTGACTTAAAATCCTATCTCTGACACATACTGCTGTGTGAACATGGGCAAGTGACTTAATCCGAATCTAAATTATCTCATCTGTAAAGTGGCACTGGTAATACCTGTACTACCTACTCTCTGGGTTGTGAAGCTCAAATGAGATGATATCTATAAAGCACTCTCTAAATCTTAACGCACTATATAATTGCTAGTTATTGTTCAGTTTGACTTAATGGGTGTTAGTGTGGGTGTTACTTAGTATTTCATAGTAGTGATGATAGTGATATCTCTAAGACAGGTTTGTAGGTTTAAGCCACTTTTATGAGGGGAATTAAGTGGAGAAATGAAGTGTTTCCCAGAGGTTACACTGAAGTCCATTTACAGAACTGGGATTAGGATGTTCAGCCTTTGAATTCCTTGCCCAGCTGAACCATACTTCCTGTCATGGTGCCAGATAATCAGTAATTCCACATCCATTGGCTCCTTAGTTTAAAAAAAGTCACCCTCTTCGGTGTTCCTAATGCAAACACTTTAATCAGTTTCAGATTATGATTATTTCTCTGTAAGTGGTGACCAGGAGACAGAACAGCAGGAATTTGACAAATCCTCTACCATTCCGAGAAACAGTGACATTAGCCAGTCCTATCGCAGGATGTTTCAGGCCAAACGCCCAGCTTCAACCGCTGGTCTCCCCACTACCTTAGGACCTGCGATAGTCACTCCTGGTGTAGCAACCATCAGACGGACCCCTTCTACTAAACCTTCTGTACGAAGGGGAACCATCGGGGCTGGACCTATTCCTATCAAGACTCCTGTGATTCCCGTCAAAACCCCAACTGTCCCTGACCTACCAGGTACACTACCAAGTCCTCAGGGAGGGCCTGAGGGGCATGGAGAACACAGCCCAGAGTCACCCTCTGTGGGTGATACCACCCAGGGTGGCACTAGCATGCCCTCCTCCATGTGGAGTGGTCAAGCCTCTGTCAACCCACCACTGCCAGGCCCGAAGCCGAGCGTCTCGGAGGAGCAGAGACAGAGTGCTCCGGAAACAGAGGATGACGAAACAGAAGGGGATCGTTCAAGTGCCGCTAGCTCCCCTGGCCAGACCCCAGAGTGCAGCAACCCAGGAGATCTGAGCCCCGGGGATACCCTGCAAGGGGAAGATATGCTGAATGCCATTCGCCGTGGTGTAAAACTGAAGAAGACACTGACAAATGATCGATCGGCCCCTCGTTTATCTTAAGGTTTCTAAGAATATACTGCCAGGGTTCTAATGAATGGAAAATGAACTGTTTAATAAAACCTTAAATTTGTTTTGATTCATTCCAATCTATAATCAAACAAAAGATTTTGTAGGAAACTCAAAATCAGAGCATTGTTTTGAAAGTACTATATATCATAAAACACAGAGAATTAAAAACACATGCATAAGTAACCATCATAATCTTTATTGGTGTTTTAATTTGTAAATATCGACAACTTTCTGCATATTTTTGTTCTTAAGTTTCCCTTTTAATTTTTCTGAAGGTGCCAAATCCCATAACTTTTTTATAAGCCTTTGTAAAATTTTAAATGCATAACTGGGGGAGGGGGGGTTGGGGAGAATCATAAAGTAGCAAACTTCAGCAAAGGGATTAATAATTGGCTTTTTTGCAAGCTTTTGTAGATGCATTGTGATAGTGTGGATTCAATAAATTGGACTTATTTTAATGTACAAATAAAATGGGTAATGAACATGGCCTCATTTAAGTATGTTTTGTGTGGAAAAGCAGAGTAACTAGATGAAAAGCAATATAACAGATGAAATAAAGCTGGAAATGATAGGCTGTGTTGGGCTGAGGGGGGAGGTAGGGTGGGAAACACCATTAACATAGTGGATGCTGTTCCCCGAGAGTAGCCTAGTAGGTTGAATTACTGTTAGCTTCATGGTAAATGCATCCGAAGCCATACTGGATTGCAGTGTTTGTTTAGGTAGGGTGTTTAGGGACTTCACTGTTCTTTTCCCGTATTTCCTCTTGACCCCACACAGCAGCCTCTCCTAGTCATATGCATGCTGCTTCAATAGTGTACTTAGATTGATTTACTCAGTTTCTCTTCTGTCGTGTTCATGCTTTCATTGAGTCCAAATACATCCAAAAGGGTAAGGCAGTTTTTAACATGTGAAAGCATTTAAAAATGATAGCAGGGAGTTCTTAGGTAGAGTATCAAATGCCTTTTATGTACAAGTGCCCAGCAGGCTGGGTACATTGAGAAGCCCAAATATTTTGAGGATACTTGAGTGGATTTAGCAAGGGTAACCAGCTTGGAGTTTAGCAACTTGCAAAAGGGTGTGTTCTATTTCAGGGGGCTTGTTTTTCTTAGACAGTGAATTGGCTTCATCCTGAATACTGAAAAGGAACAAAGATGCATAGTCACTGGGAGCCTGACCACTACACTGTCTTTTTTGTATTCTGGGTGATATATTTTTTGGGAATGTTCTTTCTTAATTAAAAAAGACTTTTTTGAGTTTTGTTTTGTTTTTCAAGTGAAACCAATTTGCTGTAATAACCATCTTTTAAAGCCAGCAAGGTATGCAGAACTCAGGGGGCCACAGGAAAAGGGGTTTAAGACTGGGTTGGAGGCAAAAGAGGCTTGTCAGTTATTCAAGTTGCACACTTGGAAACTGTTAACAGTTCACCAAATGAAGTTCTCAAAAGGGGGCTGCTGGTTTCCACCCAAATGCTGCAGCTTTTGTTGGCTCCAATATCTGACGACACCATCATATGCTTTGATACATTACTGCATTGGATGTAAGACTTAATGTATTTGTACAGTCACTGTTCTATAATAACACTTTACACTGCTGTGATTGCTTCTGACACTTTTATGTTATGGCTTAAAGCAATGGCATGTTTATTAGAAACTATTTAAACTTTACTTTCTTTGAAAAACAAGCTCCTTATTACAGCATATAATCAACAGTAGTGCCTGTGGTTCTAGCCCACCAATCTTGATTGAATAAAAGTAGCTGATGCATTGTGCATATGATGCTTGATAGGTTTTGCTAAAGCAAAAACCATTGCAAGAGAATGAACATAGTAAAGTGGTATTTTAAACCTTGGAAATGAATGGATGTAACTGTACTGGAGTACAGCTTTTCACTTGTTTAGTTCTTAAACGTTAGTATAATCTGAAAAAAAATTTAATATAAAATGTTGCCAAATTCAACGTAGAAAGAATGTGACAAAACACTTCGGATAGTTCTACTGTTTTGTGTTTTTGCATATTGTAAAAGCAGTGTCACAGCTAAAAATTTTAAAAATGTTTCTAATGGTATAAATTATTGTTCTTTAGTTGCTAGTTTGTACTGAGAGTTGACCTCTCCCTGTGCAGATTTTTGTTTTCAACTGATATAAATGAACAGTTGCTGTATTGTGTCACTCTTTTCCATTGTAACAAATGCTTCAGAATACATTATAAATAAAGAATGGCTAGAAAAATCCTGTACTTCACTTTATTCAAACCTTCATATTTGTTCAAGTCATTGGCCAAAATTAATTTTGGAGGACAGCAAAAAAGCATAATAGATTGTAGTACTCTTACAAGCCTGAGGGGGTTTGATTCTTCAAGCCCTTTTCAGATCCTCACTTGAAAAGTTAGCTGAATATTTTTTCCTTTTTCTTTTGGAGTATGGCTAATGCAGAAATATTTTTGCATGAAAAAAATAAAGTTCTGACATTATAAAACAAAAAAAATTAGTTGAATGTTTGTGAGTTTAATGGTAACAAACTAATTCTTTAATGAAAGCTGATCAAGTGATCCTTTTGGTCCTATCAAGCTCAAAGATTGCTTATGATCACAGTTAAGGCACAAAGCCAACTTTAAGCTTGAACATTTAGAGCAAAGATTCTAAATCTGGGATCCACCGACTTCTGGAAATCTCAGCTTAAATGGGATGGGGGAAAAATAGCTCCTTATTTTCCCTAACTTTTAACTGCAATTTGCCATTTCCTAAAATTATTTAAATATTCTGAGAAGGGGTTGGGGTCCATAGGTTTCCAGACTGCCAGGGAGGTCACTGGATTCAGCCAATTAGCTTTGCAAAAAGAACTACTTCCAAAGCTAGAATAACCATATTATCTATTATAAAAAGGTCCTAAGCCTACCACAAAACTATTGCAATTGGGAGAACTCAAAGCATGTTTCTATTATGGATAGGTCAATGTTGTTTTCATTCATCCATAACATCAGTGCCTCATTTTTATAAGTAAGGATAATAGAACTTTTCAACTTTGCAAACTTTAGAGATCAAACCTTTCCGTAGCTTCAGTTCTTTGGAGTTCATACATGCCCCTCCAAATTATAACCTACTAAATTCAAGCCTCAAAGGAAATTATTTTTTCTATACAAGAAAAAGGCAATTGTCAGTAACATCAGATTAGTAACTTTATTATGTCAAGTACATGTGTATCTACATACTCAATATACACACTTGAAAGTTTAAAGTGTGTGATTGTTATTCTGAAGGGCGCTCTCGGGGCCTAGTGACAATATGCCACCATAGTGGTGGTAAATGACCTTCCTTTCGTGCTGGGGGCAGAGCTTCAGTCTTAGGACCATCAAGTGGAGTTTCCTCCTTCAGCTGCTGAACCTGTGCAATAAATGAGGGGAAACTACGTTAAGACCAATTAAATGAATTTGACTGACAAAACTAATCAATACCACCAATATGATGAAAAGTGACAGCTTTTCACAAAAGAAAATTATCCCATTCTCAACATTCGGAAGACTAGGCCATCTTTAGTCCCCTGTTTTTTAGTTTTATATCCACAGCAAAGAATATTACTTATATGTAGAGCCTACATCAGATTGCACACCGTCTTGGAAAGGGAGGGGGAGAAAATTTAAAACTCAAAAGCTTACAGAAGTGAATGTTGAAAACTAAAAGTTAATTAATTAAAAAAAAAATATTATTCATTCAATTACATTTTAAACAAAAGCATCTTCCCATTGCCAAGGAAGCAGCAGTGCAGAGAAAGTATACTTGATGCCCAATTCCAGTCAGATAAAATTGTGACAGCATATCTTCATTCTAATTCCACATACCTCTCCCTTCCTCTATGCCACCAAAAAACAATAATAGTTAGCATTTACATAGCACTTTAAGGTTTGTAAAAATAGTTTACAAATATTTTGAATTAGCCTTTCCATTTTACAGATAAAGAAATGAAGGCAGGCAGAGAGGTTGATTTGCCCAGGGTTATTCAAAGTACTACAAGTCTAAGGCCGCATTTGAACTAAGGTCTTCTTTTGACTTCAGATCTAGCATTCTATCCACTATGCCACCAACCTGTATCTAACTGAGCATTAGAAAGTAATGTGTTTGGCAAACAGTCTGTTAATATAGATGCCTAAACCTCCCTAAATATTAACTAACAATACCCTGCTTTCCCTTGCTGTCTGGGTCCTGCAGCAGACAGCTGTTATATGACCATAAAACTGCGGGGACCCTCTTGGCTCTTATCTTCAAGCACCAGCACAGTTCTAGTGGACCCCAAGATCATCACCAAGCAATGAGCCTAAGCTATGCAATCATCAGAGATCCACTTCCTGTATAAGCAATCATCAGAGATCCACTTCCTGTATAAGCTCCCCGCAAAAGCCCAATTCATTAAGTTGCTCCTGCTTGCCGCAGCCCAAACTTGTACTCCTAAACACAAGATGAGGGGCAGAGTGAACCGGTTATCTTTCCCAAACTAAATGTGAATGCTGAGGCATATCCCACAAAACACTATCCTCTTGTATACAAATGAAACCTGGTTCCTAGTTCATTTATATTTAAAATTTATTAAGCACCTACCAGATGTAAGAATCAAGAGCTAGGTGGCTCTATTTTCACAGCCTAGCCCTCCAAATACTAGCTCTTCTCCAGAATAAATATCCTTAGTCCCTTCAAAAGGTCTCTATGGCATGAGCTCCAGCCAGTTCACAATTCTGGTCATTCTCCTCTTAACAACACACTCCAACTTGTTAATGTCCTTCCTGAAATGCAGCGCCCAGCATGAAATACACCACTCTGAGGTACAGCGGGACTGTCACCTCCCTTGCTCTAGACACTTTGCCTCAATGCACACTAAGAGCAAAACTAACTTCCTGGCTGCCTTGCTCCCTCAAATCCCCCTGCTCTTTCAAAACCATCCCCTACCCTGGTGAGACAGCCTGGCTAACTTCCTTTACTTGGGGAGGCCACATGGAGCAGCTGGAAAGGGCAGTGAGCAGGGCACTGCCAGGCCCGGCCAGGATGGCCTTTGGGAGGGTCTGCTGTGTGGATGTCACTGCTACAAAGGGGAGAAAGACAAAACTCACTCAGCCCCAGGCCAGTTCTCTGAAGAGGCAGTGCTGTCCACTGGAAGGAAGGTGGGCTCTTTAGCCAGAGACCCTGGCGTATTTACATCCTGCCTGTGATTCCTGCTACTTGGTGACTGTGGGGATATCACTTCCCCTCCTGGATCTCAGTTTTCTTCTCCGTAAAAATGTGAGCTAGACTCGGCCACTTTAGCCCCTCCAGATCCATGGTGCTGTGTTTCACAGCCCCTCTCCCCATGAGATGAAAATGTATGCAGATTATAAGATAAAGAATTTGTGTGAAACTGACACTATCTTGAATGCTCAGTACCAGGGAGAGAGCTGGGTCTGCTGACTTCAAACCCTGGAGCCCCAACTTCTCCTGATTGATCTCTCCAAGTCTTAGGTGCATCATGCACAAAATAAGGGGGTAAACTAGATGCCTCCCCATGGTGCTTTCCAGTCTTCAATCTACGCTCTTATGTTTACTGTACGAAGTTAGGGGAATAGTGGCTATTTTAATTGTCTCCCAAGCCCCTCTCCACATGACTTCTTCTACGAGCCATGCATCCCCCCTCCCCAGGGGTGCATGCCCACTCACCTCACGGTCCCAACTTTCCAAGCGCAATTTCTTCCATTTCTCCCTCTTGGCAAAGTAATCAGGGTACATCGCCTTCTCAGACGGATGCCAGTAGTCTAAGCACCACTCAGGAACCTATCAGAAGAGGATGGCTGTCACAGGTTCTGAGATATGACACTGGTAATGAACAATGCAAGGGGAAGGGCAAGGGCAAGGGCGGGGTGGCTCCCTGGAGGCCTCTGAGCAGAGGTAAGGCAGGTGGCCATTGTCAGTATGTCATGGCACAAACTCCTTTTGGATAGGGGTTGGTCTAGAAGGCTGCTGAGGTCCCTTTCAATTCTAAAATTCCATGATTCTCTGATGCTGGTAGTAGGATAGTACCTGCATTTCTTATAATCAAGTTAGTACCATTGGTAAGACTGCATCTATTCCATAGACAGAGGTGAAACAGAAGACCAGAGACAAATGGGAATGTCCAAGTGTATGGCCTCTATATGCAAGAGCTAGAAAATTGCCTTAAGTCAAACAGAACGAATACCACTCCATCTCCTTCCTTCTATTCTCCAAAACTCCTAAATTTGGTAATAAGGCCTTATAAATACTAATAACTCCTTTTGCTAGTAACTCTAGATAGTCAAGCCAAATAAATTAACTTCAGCAAGCCTAGCAATGAATTATTAACCTAAGAGGCTTTTTCACTTAGTGAAAAAGAAAAAACAAATCTCTTTTCTATAGGACCACAGAACCTAGTTGAGGAAGAAATCTGAATAGAAATGTTAGTTAAAAGTTGAGAAAACATATGGAACTACAGTTATCCCTTCCACATTGAGACTTTCCCCATGATGGTTTTGATATATCATGGGTCATCATAAGAAATTAAATGGGAATTTTGGGGGAGTTTTGTGGAAGCTGCAGATGACACATGAAGGTCAGCAAACAACAAAAAATTTAGAAACTCAGAAATGCATAAAATATATGTGTGGTATTATATACTATCAACCCATATTTTACAATAATGTACTTTAAACACCCCCCTAAAAAAATTCAGACTTCTTCTCTGGTACAAGAGGAAGCCAAAAAATTTTATTCAAAAGTTTCTAGATTGCAGGGGTGCCTGTGCCCCTAACTCCCACGATGTGGAAAGGATAACTATTTTTCTTTTCCAGATGAGAAAGACAGGAGGAGAACTAAGTTTCTTTAAGAAAATCCATATAAAACAAATACTTCCTATTTCTGAAATCTAATTAGGGAGTAGAGGGTGAGGAGTTATACCAGGGGTTCTGACCTACCTTGTAACACTCATATCTTTCAAAGGAAGTGCCTCCCGGGGAATCAGGGAAGATATATGGTTGAGGATGCTGATAAGCCCAAAATTCTTCCTCACCCTTCATAAGCAGTTTGGTGGCTTTTACCATGTCTTTTTCATTCTTATGTTCTTCAAACCGAGCTCTCAGCAAACAAGCTTGGAACCGATATTCATCCCTGGGAAGTATAAAGATTAACATCTATAAAACTGTATCTCTTAAATTTGTTGCTAAATTCCTTTCCCTAACGTGTATGTATTTCCACAAACCCTTTAAAAATTGGCAAAAGTCCTGTGATATCCCACCCCTCCTTACCCTGACACAGCAGGTGACACAGCAGCTTTCCTTCTGGAGGGAGAAGGCAGATCATAGTACCAACTATTTCCCATGAAGAAAAGGGAAATTGGGGAAAAAATCTTTGAGCAAGTTTCTCTGAAAAATGTATAATATCCAAGGACTACTGAAACTGATTAAAGTATAAAAGAACAAAAGTTATTCCCTGATAAACAGTCAAAGGATATGAACAGGCAGTTCTCAAAGAAAGAAATCCAAGCTACCAACAGACATGAAAAAATGCTCCAAATCACTATTTTAAAAAATGCAAATCAAAATAACTCTGGAGTTCTAACTCATCAACCTGCCAAAGATAAGAAAGAAAAGGATAATTGTTGAAGGGGCTGGGGGAAAACAAGGCACACTAGGGCATTGTTGCTGGAACTGTGAATTGGTTCAGCCATCCTGGAAAGATGTAGTACACTCTATAATCCAGCAATAGCACTTGTACATCTATATACCAGAGATTAAGAAAGAGAGAAAAGATGTTTATGTACAAAAGTATTTAAAGCAGCCCTTTTTGTTGTAGCAAATAACTGCAAAAGGACCCATCAATTGGGCAATAGCCAAACTGGCATATAAATAAAATGGAATGTTACTGCAACTTAAGAAATGACAAAAGGGGTAGTTTCAGAGAAACATGGGAAGACTTTTATGAACCTAGGCAGTGAACTGAGAATCAGGAGAACATATTATACAGTAATAATATGGTTAAGAAAATCAACTTTGAAAGACTGAGGAAGTCTGATCAATGCAAAGCCCAACCTGGACTCCAGAGGACTGATGATAAACCTCCTGACAGCGGGTAACAGACTCAATGATGAAGAATAAGCTAGGCATCTGTGGTCATAGCCAATGTGTGGGCTTCTTTTGCTTGATTACACTTATGTGTTACAGGGATTATCTTTTTTTTTTTTAATTGGGGGAATACTGATAGTATAAATTGGTGGTGGGGGAGGGGATTAATACATGGGAAGCCTAAGACTTCATCTCTTTGAATGTCCCTTCCTTTACCTTCTTCCCAACCTCCTGCTGTCTTGGGAGGCCTATTCTCTAGGTCCCAGTTCAGGTCTCCTAATACACGGCAGGAGTTCTGAACTTTCGGGTGCCTTGGTGAAGCCTATGAACCCCTTCTCAGAATATTTTTAAAAACATGAATACGCACGGAATTACAAAGGAAACCATAGATTAGTAAAAATAAATATGTTTTTCCTGTCCAAGTTCACAGACCGCCTGAATGCTGTCCACGGGCACCCTGCACCCCAGGTTACGAACTCAAAGGGGAAGGTGGGTGTGGAGAAGGGATGGCAGTCAGGAGATGGGGGCGGGGAGGACAAAGTCCGTCAGTCAGTCAGTCAGTCAGTCAGTCAACCGGCAAGCCCTTCTCTGGGTCACGGGGGGCTTGTCCTCCCCCACGCTTGGTCTTTTTGGGCAGTAGGTCACGGACCGCAGCTGGAGGACTGTGGGCCTGACCTGAGGTGCCGAGGCCGCCTCCCCGTACCTTCCTCTCCTCCCCCCGGCACGGTCCCCACCTGTGGACTATCCAGGACTCGAGGTGGCGGAGCGCCCGTTTGTAGAGCCGCAGCACCTTCTGCTGGTGGGTCAGATAGGCGCCCGGGGCGCAGAACGCCATCTCGCCCGGCTTCACCTTCAATCCAGCCGGCGGCCGCGGGGGTTTTCGGGAAACCGGAAGGACCCGCCCCTGACCCAGTCTCTGTTGCTCCCTTCTTCCCATGCCCCCCCACTTCCCGCCCCATCCTGGCCACTTCCGTTTCCGTCTGGGCAGAACTGAGGTTGCCGCCATGACTCGCTTCCCGTTCGTCGGTAAGAGGGGTCCCTTTGCCCTCTTCGGGCCAGCCCGTGGCTCCGCATGCCGCTGTCCGAGCCCTTCCCTCCGGCCTCAGTTCACAAGGAACGCGCGCTTCTCCCCATCCTCTCGCGCAGGCGGGGCGTGGGAGGCGGGGTGAGAAAGGGAGAACAGCTGGGAGAGGGTGAACTCTGAACTCTGACCCGGGGTCATCCCAGGCCCTCGGTGCCTTCCCTCTGAGACTACCTACGTGCTGTTGTTGCTGAGTCGTTTCAGTCGTGTCCGACTTTACGTGATCGCATTTGGGGTTTTCTTGACAAATTACTGGAACAGTTTGCGATTTCCTTCTGCTATTCATTTTACAGATGAGGAAGCTGAGGCAAACGGGGTCAAATGCCGTCCCCAGGGTCACTCAGCCTTTCTGACTCCGGCCTGGCGCTCTATCTACTGCGCCACCTAGCGGCCTGCCTTCCTGCTGCTTTGTATGTGCCTTGTCTGTACGGGGCTGTTCACATGTTGTCTTTAGACTGTGAGCTCCAGGAGGGCAGAGAGCGGCTGTTGCCCACGTTCAATCCCCAGCAGTTAGCTTGGAGCAGAGGGGGCACTCGGTAGAGGCCCGTGCAATGACTGCCTTCCCTTGGGTCCCGCAGTGAGGAGGAGTTCAGCATGTGATGGGGAGAGGACTGCGCCAGTGAAAGGCGTGAGTCCTGGTAACTGCAGGAGCGAGGGAAAGTTTAGACGTGAAAGAACAGTTAAATGTAATGCGCCTGTAATACGCGGTGGCTTATGATGAGCTCATTAGCCAAATAAAATGCCTTGTGAAGTGCTTTGATGGCCCGCCGGCCAGAAACAGCAACACTTTATGTTCACTAGGATCCTATCGTGTCCTAGGTGCTAGGGGAGAGAAGAGGCTGGCCTTAACCTTTAGCGGACCACCCACGTAATTTAAGGCCTAATCACTTCTCACCCGAAGTTTTTCTAATTGTCTCCTCATGGGTCTTCCTGCTTCCAGTTTTTCCCTTCCCGTATGTCTTCCATATAGCTGCTAGAATAATTGTTCTAAGGCAGAGTAAGCGTCACACCAGATCATTCCCCTGCTCAAAAAACACGGGTGGCCCCCATTGCCTCTAGAACAAAATACAAACTTCAAACTAGCATTTAAAGCATCCTCCGTTCATACTTTGATATTTTAAACAATTATTCAGTGATAATATTCTATTACCATTGAATGGCGTTCCAGAATTACTTGACATTCCCTTTCACAATATTGAATCAAACTGACCAGCTAGCAGTTTCTTAAATTTATCATTTCATTCTACCTCTATGCATCTGCAGATGTGCTTCACATCTGGAGTTCTGGGAGCACAGCTCTATTAGTTTTCATCTCTCCAAATCCTTTTCTCTTTCATAGTTCAGTTCAGGTACTACCTCTTTGGCATCTGCCCCAACTCAAGCTTTTTCTCCTTGCCAAATTACTTTGTAGTTAATTTATGTGTGTATTTCCCTTTATGTAAGTTCTCTGAGGGCAGGGACTGTTTTATTTTGGTCTTTGTCTCCCACTGAATCTTATATCTAGAACAATTATAACAAATATTTGTTGAATGAATGCTTTTAGTAACTTGGTTTGGAAGATCGTGGATCTGGGAAGTGAATGGATGATATTGTCAAATTCCTGGCATCCTGACTTTATGGCTCCACTGCTCTTAAATATAATCCAAAAAGAAATACATACATTTATGTCATTCCCCAAAACTCCCAAAGACTGACCAAATGTAGATAATTCTTTGGAGGCTTAAAAAGTTACTTTTGGAATTTCCTGTCTAGTGATCATTCTATGCTAGCCTTTATATAAATAGTTATTGTTATATAGGAATTTCTATTCCTTTAACATTATCAACGTATAGGAGACTATCGTCTCATTTCTCTGAAGAGAATATTATGATACTTATAAAACATTAGATATCTTAAAACCCATGTATAATGGTAAAGGACATCAAAGAAAGAGGACATCAAAAGCATGAAGTCTGTCAAAAGCACATCTGTTACCATTGAATAATTGCTTAAAATATTAAGTAATTTAATGTGACCTTTGTATTTAGATTCAAAACTGAGCTCCTTCCTCAAATTACCTGTAGTTTCCTCTCACTTACCATTATTTCACTATAATATTACCTGATGGTACCTTTAAAATTGGGGCGTATGATACGTGGTGTTTCCCATAGAGGAAGAACATTCCTCAGGTAAAGAACACCTAATTTAGCCTTAATGGACATCAGTTTTCTCACATGCATAAAGAGGAGATTGTCTTAGATTTCAGCTCTGAATACTATGATTTGTAAAGGAACCATGCACTCCTTGGCTCCTGTCACTCCTCTCACTCCTCTCCAACAAATAGCAAGCTGTCCAGGGCTGCTGCTTTACCTAGTGACCAGCTACAGCACAACCAGAGTCAACAACAACTTCCTCATATGTCTCTTCTATTCACAGGCAATCATAGAATTTAAAGGTGAGAAGGGCCTTAAAGATCTAGTCTACGGCTTCTTAACCTTTTTTGGCTTATGGAGCCCTTTGGTAGGCTGTTGAAACCCATAGGCCCTTCTCAGAATATTGTTTTAAAGTGAATAAAAATAAAATACATGGGATTACAAAGCAAACCATTTATATTGAAATAAAAATGTAATTTTTATTTAATCATCCAAGTTCACCGACACCCCCCCCCCCGAAATCTATCCACAGGCTGACCGACTCCAAATCCAATACTCTTTCATCTTCAACATTCAGAGTTCGAACCCTTTTCCTTATTTTTTATTTATAATTTAGTTAATTCCATCTCAGGCAGTGTTTTTCATCCAAGCACATCCTCTTTAGTCCTCTTCTGGTTTTTGCCAAATAAGTTACCTCAGCCAAATCTCTGTCCCTTACTGTTCATTATCCTAAAATTATTCAAGTTATGACTGCTAAATATAAGAACTGTGTTTATGATGGTACTTGTATCAAGCAGAGCTGTGGGTTTTAAAGTTAAATCAGATTTAATGAAAAAATCTGTGCTAAGTGCCTTTCACAAATACTTTCTCCTTACAATAACCCTACAAAGTAGGTGCTATTATTATTCCTATTTTACAGCTAAGGAAAAGTTAAATGATTTGCCCAGGGCCAGATTTGAGCTTATGTTTTCTTGACTCCAGGCCTAGCTCTATCTATTACATCACTGGCTGCCTCTCTTATAACATAGATTTTATGGGAGAATACAGTTCAAGTTTCAGAAAGAACTATGGAACACAACTTGCTTACAAGGTGGGCACTTTCAATATTAATTTTATTTATTTTCAGGAGGTAGAACCAAGATGACAGAGGAGCAAAAGTAGTACAGTGAGCTACCCCCCCCCCCCAACTCCTCCAAACAGACCTAGAAAATTTAACAGATCAAATCCTGACTGAGAAATCCCAAGAAAAGGTCACGAGTCATTTTTCCAGCCTGGGTCAGCATAGGGAGACAGACAGAAATCTGCTGGAGACTAGATCTAGCTAGGAGCATGCCTTGCAAAGAGCACACCATTACAGATGGAGAGGTTGTACACCAGGGCAAGGCCTAGACCCATATCGGGGCACATGGATGAAAGGTGCCAACTGGCAGCTTTGTTGCATATTACTTCAGTTTCAGGTTATAAGCCTGGCCAACTGAGATATGTGTTCAAGTGGCATTCCAGGGTAGGGAATGGTGTAAGGCCCTGAGCAGTATACTGAGAAGGAGCACATTCAGAAGCCATCAGCAGAAATGTGACTTGGACCTCAAGAGCAGAGCTGGTTCTCAGTTCCAGCTTCTAGTCTAGATGGAAGCCTACAGAGGAATATTCAGTGAAGGAATCTTAGACCTAAGGGAAACTTGCAATTCTGCCATTGAACCAGAAGAGCTGTTCCAGCTGGCTGATAATGGCAGTACTCAGCAGCAGTGTACTATTGCTCAGACCCAACCTCAGGTCAGTAACTTGAAGAGCTCAGACCAGAGGGGCAGCAGTCAGACTTTGCCCTTCAAACCACTTTGGTGGTCTGAAAACTTGTAGGTCCCTAGGCTGAGTTATTCCTGAGATCCTGGAATGACAACCACCCAAGAAAGCAAAAGCAGGACAAGCCCAGACCTTCCCTTCAGAAGTGCCCATCTGTCTGAAGTCAGATAGTAAACTAGAAGATGAGCAAACAAATAAAAAGAATCCCACCATAAAAAGCTATTACGGTGACAGGGACATCCAAGATGCAAACCTCGAAGTGAATGATTCCAAAACACGTACAAACAAAGCCTCAAAACACAGACAAACAAACACACAGCTTGACAAAAATTCAACTAGAATTCCTGGAAGAGATGAAGCAAGAGTTTTTTAAAAACTGAAGACAATGTTTTCTCTTAAATGACAGCACTAGAGAGAACAACGGAAAAGAAATGAGAGTTGTGGGAGAAAGAATTGGAAAGGAAATTAATAGCTTGGCATAACGGGCACAAAACCTTACCTAAGAAACAAACTCCCTGAAAATTAGGACAGACCAAATAGAAGGCAATGACTTCATGAAACAAGAAATATGAAACCGAAGTAAAAAAAAAATGGAAAAATAGAAGAAAATGTAAGGTATTTCATAACCAAAAAACAACTGACCTGGAAAACAGGAGAAAAAAAATTTAAGAATCATTAGATTGCCTCAGCACCATGATCAAAAAAGAGTTAGGCATATTTCAAAAGATCTTTAAAGAAAACAGCCCAGATCTCTTAGAACAAGGGGGCAAAGTGGAAATAGAATCCATCAGTCACTTTTTGAAATAAACTCCTATATTAAACTCCCAGGAACATTATAACCAAAATCTAGAGCTTCCAGGTAAAAGGAAAAAAAATACTTCAAGCAGCAGGGAGGAAGAAAAGGCAAGTAGGAATCAGTCAGGATTGCAAATTATTTCA